GTAATTTTCTGGTAGAGTCTTTAGGGTTTTCTATGTAGAGGATCATGTCATCTGCAAACAGCGAGAGTTTCACTTCTTCTTTTCCTATCTGGATTCCTTTTACTTCTTTTTCTGCCCTGATTGCTGTGGCCAACACTTCCAAAACTGTGTTGAATAGCAGTGGTGAGAGTGGGCACCCTTGTCTTGTTCCTGATTTCAGGGGGAGTGTAAAGTCCAAGCATTCTTAACAGTACCTGGCCTTCCAGGGTGTTATGAATATATGCATGTGTGCATATATATGTGTATATATACACACAAGTATACAAGTATGAAGATAGAATATATTTTATGCAACCATTTTATATATGGCTTTAAAATCTGATGGCTCAGATGGTAAAGAATCTGCTACAATGCAGGAGACACAGGTTCGATTCCTGGGTCGGGAAGTTGCCCTGGAATAGGAGGAAATGGCAACCCACTCCAGTATTATTGCTCAGCAAATCTCATGGACAGAGGAGCCTGGTGGGCTCAAAGAGTCAGACAGGACTGAGCAACTTTCACTTGATATATAACTTTTAAACATTTAGATATATGGTATAATATGTACACTTCTATTGACTCTCTCACCCCAGGTTCTGCAAATGTTAGAGGTAGACCAGTTAAAGTGACATTAGTATACACGGTAGAGATGAATGAAAATTTAGAAGAGATTATGTAATCTAGACTGGGGTAAATTTCCATTAACTCTTTTAAAATGCTCAAACAATTTATTGACCTTCATAATTCCAGCAGTTCATTAAATTCTAAGGTGTAAATGTCTTCAATAATTAAGGATACTAATAATGGCTCTGATGATAAAGTAAACAAGGGTTTTATGTTTTATAAGTGTACTAGCACAAGCCATAGGTTAATTACTTTGCCAAATTCCTAAATAATACTATCACACTGAATGCTAAGTCACTCAGTCATGTCTCACTCTTTGCAACCTTATGGATTGTAGCCCACCAGATCGTCTGTCCATGGGGTTCTCCAGGCAAGAATACTGGAGTGGGCTGCCATTTCCTACTGCAGGGGCTCATCCCCACCCAGGGCTCGAACCCATGTCTTGCATTGGCAGGCAGATTCTTTACCACTGAGTCACCTGGGAAGCCCAAATAATACTACGTTGCCCTCAAAATGTTAACATCTTGGGTAAAAGTGAATCATTTCCTCCAGGAAATTATTAATTCCTTTTCATCAATGAAAGCAGGATTAAAAATTTGCCCCAGATTCATGCCTAAGTTGATCAGTTGTCCATTTTCAGCTAGAGTGTCGGTTCTAAGAGAAGGAAGGTAATCTAAAGTAGATGAGAAAATGCATTCGTGTGGCTCCCTTCAGGAGTTCACATTTGGTTTCTATAGCAATCCTCCTGCTAACCTAAGGGACATGCCAAATCTCATCTCTTCCTTGAAGTTCTCTCTCCTAACACTGGACTTCCATAATACTTCATATTCTTCCCACATAGAGATTACATGAGGTCTCAGGTGTAGGCAGAGTTGTAAAGCTTCTAGAACGGAATTGGGAGTTTCTTCCCAGTACAATAATGAGTTCCTGGAGGCTCTGCATTATTGGAAAGATGCTATCCAGTTTACGTTTTGTTCATTTTCCTATCTACCTCTTTATGCCAGACCATGAGACCCTTCAAGGGGTAAACTGTCTTACTTGCCCTCAAATCTTCCAGTGTCTGAGCAAAGGGCCTGTTTCTTAGCAGGCACGTAATAAGTAGTTATTGAATGAATGAGCCTGTAGTGAATGTCTGCACCTGAGCCTAAGCAAGCTGCTTCAGAAAGAGACACAAGGGACTTCCTTGGTGGTCCAGTGGTAAAGAATCCACCGGCCAATGCAGGGGACACGGATTTGATCCCTGGTCCAGGAAGATTCCACATGCTGTGGGACAACTAATCCTGTCCACCACAGTTACTGAAGCACACACAACTAGAGCCTATGCCCCCCAACAAGAGAAGCCACCACAGTGAGAAGCCTGCGCACCACGACTAGAGAAAGCCTGCACACAGCAATGAAGACCCAGCACAGCCAAAATTAAATAAATTTTTTTAAACTACTAAAAATAGGCAAACACAAAAAGTTCCTCAAACAGCTAGATATAGAATTAACTGTCTGAGCCAGCAAACCCACTCCTAGGTGTTTATCCAGAATGATTGAATAACAGATATTCACGCTATATGTGTTCACGAATGTCCATAGCAGAACTATTCACAAAGTCAAAAGGGGTGACAATACAAGCGTTCACCAACTGATGAATGGTTAAACAAAACATGGTATAACCGCACAATGGAATATTATTCATCCATAACAAGAAATGAAGCAGATATATGCTACAACATGGGTGAACCTCAAAAAAAATTACACTAAGTAAAAGAAACCAGACATCAAATGTTACATAGGTCACATGCCATTTATGATGAAATATCCAGAATAGCTAAGTCCATAGACATAGAAAGATGGAAGATGGTTGCCAGAGGCTGGTGAGAGGAGGGAGTGACTGCTTAGTGGGTACAAGGTCTGCTTTGAGGGTGATGAAAATATTTTAGAACTAGATAGAGGTGATAATTGGACATCATTGTGCATGAACTAAATGCCACTAAATTGTACACTCTAAATGGTTAATTTAATGTGATGTCAATTTTGGCTTAATAAGAAACACACAAAATTTAAATCATGGGAGAAGCAGTTATAAATCCCATATTTTAAAATTTGGAAAAAAAAAAAGGAAGAGAGAAATGGGAGAAAGAGAGAATTAAATAAAACAGTGACTCAGAAGGTTTTTTGGAGGGAAGACTTTTGTGTGTTTTAAGGCAAAGAGGAGAAGACTGAGAGCAGCGTAACTCTGAGGTCTTCCCAGGTTTGGGAAGACGGAGACCAGACACCATGTGACAGTGAAGAGCTTAGTCACACACTCTGGTAAAGAGTGCTGCAGTTGAGATAGTTCAAGGAAAAGTGCAACTGGACGGAGCATTGGAAATGATCTAGTCCACACTCACTGTTCACTAATGTGACAGCCACCTCTCCCTGTCC